AGGGGGGAGAAGGACGGGAGTATTTGAAAATATATGGACCGACAAATTGCTGTAGGTGGGAGTTTCGATCAGTGATTGGATGGGGGATGCCAGTATTGGGGGAAGACGAGTTCAAATTGAATCGGGTAAGTGGAGTAATTAGTGGGGTGGGTGATTGACCTTGCCGGGGGGATCAGACTTAGGAGTATTTAGGAGAAAAAGGAGAACGAGGGGGTCAGTAGATGTATAGACCACTTGATTAGCTGTGGGTGGGAGTGTCGGGGTAGGAGTCGGTGGTGGGAACAAGTAATGAGGGGAAAAAGCTCGATTGAAGAGACAAGCTTCTAATCGCGGGGAAGGATGAGTGTGTGGGCAGAGGAATGGCGAGATCGGCGGGTGGATGGGAGGAAAGGTGGTTGTATGAAGGGAGGTGTGCGAGAGAGTGGAACGTCGGCGAGTGGTTGATTGGGTGGCTCAGAGGTGGGAGATGAGGGAGGTGGGAGGTGTGGGGGGAACAGACGTTGTGCTAGTTAGAGACAAGATTGGATTGGGATCGGGCTAGGAATGAGTAGGGTTGGAATGTGGTCAGGACGGGATTGGGATAAGGCTGAGACGGGGTCGAGGTAGGGTCGAGGTCGGTGGCCGACGAGGATAGGACGGGATTAGAGTTGAGATCGGGGCGAGAAGAGAGTGGTCTCAGTTCGGGGTTGGGGTAGGATCGAAATGGGAGTCGGGTGGGATCGGATTGGGGTCAGGAGAGGGGTCGGGATGGTGTCGTGGCTGGTCGGGGTGGGAGTGGGTCGAGTTTGGAGTGGGGACAGGGTTGAGATTGGAGGGAGAAGGAAGTGGGCTGAGGTTAGGACCGAGATAGGTTCGAGAAATGGTTGGTGTAGGATCGGGATGGTTAAGATGGGGCTGTGGTGGTAGCAACTCGGGTACGGGGGGAAGATCGAGGTTGAGAGTTAGGAGAGGATGGTATCGAAGAGGGGTTTACTAAGGGATCGGGGGTGGGATCGGGATGGGATCGGGATGGGGTCGGGTTGATATCGGGATGGGATCGGGATGGAGTCGGGATGAGATTGGGACGGGATCGGGATGGGTTCGGGTTGGGATCGGGATGGGGTCGGAATTGGATCGAGTTGAGGTCGGGATGGGATGTGATGGGATCGTAATGGGGTTAAGTTGGGATCGGGATGGGATCGGGATAAGATCGGGTTGCGTTCGGGGTGGGGTCTAGGATAAAACGAGGTGGGGACGAGGTGGATGCGCTTCGGAGGTGGGATGGGGATTGGGATTGAAGTCGGGTTAGGAGGGATGTGGGAACCGATAGGAGTCAAAGTGGGAGCCAGATGGTGGGGTCGGGTTGAGACTGGGATGGGATCGGGATGGGCTCGGGTTGGGATCGGGATCGGGATGGGGTCGGGATTGGATCGGGTTGAGGTCGTGATGGGATTGGGATGGGATCGAAATGGGATCAAGTTGGGATCGGGATGGGGTCGGGATAAGAACGGATGGCGTTCAGGGTGGGGTCGAGGAGAGAACGAGGTGGGGATGAGGTGGATGCGCTTCGGAGGTGGGATGGGATTGGGATTGAAGTCGGGTTAGGAGGGATGTGGGATCCGATAGGGGTCAGACTGGGAGCCAGATGGTGGGATCAGGTTGAAGTCGGGACCAGGATGGGATCTGGATAGGAGCGTGGTGGGAGATATATTGTGGCGCGATGCGATGCGATTGGAGTGGGATGAGGGTTGTGATTGGGAGGGGGAGGGTGTAGGATGAGGTGGGATCGAGATAGGATCGATCTTGGGGTCGGGTTACGATCGGGTTGGGGTTAAGATGGGAACGGGCTGGAATCATCGCGAAGTTCCGGACGGGATCAAGACAGGAATGTGGGGGGGGGAGGAGGACAAAGTTGGATTGTGGTGAGGGAAGTACCGGAGCGGGGTTCAAGGACAGGATCGAAGGAATGGAGGGTTGTGCGCGTGGAGAGGAAGCAGTGGAAGGGGTGGAGGGGGGGGGGGGGGGGGGGGGGGGGGGGGGGGGGGGGGGGGGGGGGGGGGGGGGGGGGGGGGGGGGGGGGGAGTGGGGGAACTGATGTGGATTACTGGCGAGATGGGTAGGTGGTGCGAAATGGTGGGTCGATGGTAGGGGTATAGATCAGAGTTTGAGATGCGGGTAGGAGAGAGCCTAGAGTTCATCCGGGGGAGGGGACTGATCAGATAAAAGTTGCAGGGGGAAGTTCGTAAGAAGGACACGGGGGGTGCATTACTACTTGGACAGGAGGGGGTAACTCGTAGGGGGAACAACCCAGGTGGAGATCGGCGTAGGGGAGAGATCGTGGAGGAGGGATAGCGGAGGAGCGAAACCAGGAAGGGAAATGAGTGTTAATGGGGGGCCGATGATTTCTCACTTGACGAGATCCGATATTAGGTCGAAGACGTTTTCGTTGACGATATGGCTGCTCCAGTAGGCGCCGCGTGGGGGTTATATCTCCTTTACAACAACTTTCGGCGGCGACATGTAGCCTTACCAACGGCATTGGCTGCTGCAGTTTGGACGTCCTTCCTAGCGGCTTGTCCTGATCTCACAAATCGCAGGCGTTGGTGCATGCCTTCGACTCGCGCGCTTCGTTCCCTACTTGCACACGTGGCCGCGCCCGAAGGCGCGGCGGGGGGCAGTAGCACCCTCGTCTCCCGTTCAGCAATGGCGTGTGCCGTAGACAGCGATGGCGTATGCGGAAGACGCGCGAAAATTCTCGCTTACTTGGAGGACACAACGCTTCGAAAATTGGCGCGGGCGGGAGCGCTTACCGACCGGCGCTCGCGCGACAAAATCCGGAATATCTTTCTTTTCCCAAGGCAAGGAAATTGGGCAAGAACCAGAAACGGAAGGAAACGAACATTGTTCAAACTAAGGCGGAAGAGAAATCGGAACGAGATCTCTTGCAGAAAGAGGCGGCCGTAGTTCTGTCTCAACCTGAGAAACTGAAAAAATGGAACAAAGAATATGCATCCGAATTCAGCACCATCTCGCAGATTGTTGGGGGAAGAGCCCCAATGGTTTCAGAATCGGCCAAAGGCTCGAAGAACACTGAGGAACATCCGGCCCCTCATTGCAGCCAGATACGTATCAAACGCGAAGGAGTGGCAGATCGCAACGGATGTAGCTTTCAAAATCCCCCACTTTGTTGAGGGTGAAAACGTTGTGAAGGTACTCAAAGAACAGGTAACACTGGATTACCCACTGGGTCTCTTTGAGACGGTAGCTTTGGAATCAGACCTGTCCGACTCCAGCTCTCAGGATGAAACATGAAGCGTCAAACATGGCAAGGACAAGATGACCAGGCATTCCCCGAGGGTCTTTTCTCCCCTGATCGCCAAGATGTCAGAATCAACGAAGCTGAAAACAGGGATGATCTGGAGACCTTGGCGAACAGTGGCTAAAGTCCCTTACAGCATCCTAGCCGGTATCGGTGTATCGGCAGAGCTGATGGCCTCAGTCGTGGCTGAAATTGTCCAATCAGGACAGCTGGTAGGGGATGATGATCTAGATGCAAGAGCATTTGCCCTGGATTGTGACAGGTTCTACAGAAGTGACGCCTCCGACTGTTCTGAATGGGAAGGGGACGATGAAGGTGAGACCTGGGACTGGGACTTTGATCTAGATAAGGACGAGAATGGCCAATTTGATGCAGAGAGTCCTCACAAGGCAGGACACCCTGCAGCCTCTCCAGCCAAGGACACTGGAGTAGGCTCGTCTCAGGCGATAACTGGGGACGGGGCCAACACGGGCACCTTTCCACTTTCTCCTACCTAGACAATCCGGGATTGAGAGTCGCTCTATTCTGATCCAGCCACAGTATGGAGAGCTACAGGAGAAGAGCGAACGAGGTAAGAGGCCACATGGATTGGAAGAATCAAGGACTTGTCCTCATAAGCTGGAATGTTAACAGGTTAGGGAACATATTAGAAAGAGAAGAAAAATGGAATGATATACTATCTGGGATATCCATGAGGGAGAGGAAGCTAGCTGATATAGTGCTACTGCAGGAAACACACCTCACCTTCTCAACAGCACACAACAAAATTCGAGCTTATATGGCAAGAAAACTGGGCTGCATCAAAGAAGAAATTTGGTTGGTTGACCCTGGAACCAGCACCAAGGGGACGGCTATCCTGATCCCCAAATCCTCCCGCCTATATGCAGCAGGCTCGGTCGTCGACAAGAAAGCCGACCTCACTGAAGGAAGATGGTGTAGGCTACACCTGAGATGGAAGGAAGAGGAATTCTTACTCTTCAATATCTACGCCCCCAACTCTTCAACTGAAAGAATGTCATTTCTTAGACAAATCGGTGACATGATTCCCCCATTCACCCCATGTATTCTGGCTGGAGATTGGAATGCTACAATAGACCCCTTAGTGGACCCTATTTCTCGATCCTCCACCATCCCAAACTTATCAGAAGCAACACCAATCCAGGAAATGATGTTGAACCACAACCTGGCAGACCCCCATAGAATCCTGCAGCCCAACAAGAGAACCTTCACCTTAGTCAAGAAGAACCATGCCAACCATATGGCCTTTTCACGAATCGACTACTTCCTAGTGTCCGAAATCCTGATGGGGGCAGTCAAGGAAGCCGAAGTATTACTACTGGCTCCATATTCTGGGCTCGATCACAAACCAATTGAACTAGTCATATCCTTTGACCAAGTGGTTTCAAAGGGAGCCAACTTCCACAAACTCAACAACTCTCTCCTGCTGAGTAAAACCTTCAAAAACGAAATTTGTGACTGCTGGCAAGGGTTGAGGTCGGTACACCTTAGCACTACTCCTCAATGGGAATGGTTCCAGAAGAGCTACTCGACCCTTTCAGACACCGCTGCCAAAGTGTCTAGGAAGCTAGCATCGATAAGGAAACAAAGAAAACAGTCTTTAGAATTTGCTATGAAAATAGCTAAATCTAACATGTCAAACAACCCCACCTCTCAACTTTACATCGAAATCTTCGATAAGGCTCGAAAGGAATTGGCCATGTGGAAATGGTGGGATCTGAGAGGCCTCCAAATAAGAGCAAGAATGTGCGAATACAAACTAAGCGACTCAATGACTAAACACTTCTTTGCCCGAATTAAAGCTAATTCGAGAGCTGGCACGATAGAAGGCCTGATGTCACACACGGCTCCCGAAACGATGAAAACAGATAGTGAAGGGATGCTTGAGATAGCCAATAAGTTCTACAAGGAGCTATACCAATCCAAGACGGGGACACCAATACCCATCAACATCAGAGAAGCAAGACAAAAGATGCTACAATACCTGGAGTGAACAATTTCACCTGAACAGGCTGAAACGCTTGACAAGCCTTTCACATCAGATGAAATACTTCGGGCTCTACAAGTATGAACAATAATAAGACCCCAGGAATTGACAGCTTAATAAAAGAATTCTGGGAAAAATTATGGCCTTTGCTAGGTAACGACTTGATAAACTTCTATAATGACAGTTGGTCCCAGGGGGGGCTGGGTAATCTTCTCAGCAGCAGCGTGATTACGCTACTCTACAAAAAGGGCGAAAAAGACGACATTAGAAACTACAGGCCCATATCGTTGTTAACCCTCCCATATAAGATCTTGGCCAAGACCTTATTGAACCGGATTATCAAGATTACCAATCAATGTTTCCACATTGACCAAACAGGATTCATCCCAGGTCGTTACATCCTAGACAATGTTATGACATTGAACGAGTCTGTAAGGAAAATCAGAGAAAGGAAAATAAATGCCGCCATTCTCTTCTTTGACTTTGAGAAAGCATACGACCAAGTCAACTGGGACTTTATGGAAGCAAGCATGGAAAGAATGGGAGTCGGACCGAACATCGGAAAATGGGTCAGGATACTCTACAAGGATGCAGTTGGTTGTATCCAAGTCAATGGGATGCTGTCAGATTGCTATCCGATTTCCCGCTTGGTCCGCCAAGGGGACTCTTTAGCTCCGTCAATCTTCCTATTCGTAATGGAGGCAATCACATCCTTCCTGCGCAAGGATCCCTCAATCCAGAGACTAGCCAGCACAGATGTAGGCTCGACCCACCAGATGGATTTCCCTGCATTCATCATGTTCGCCGATGATCTAACAGTTCTAATCAGAGCATCAGATTCATCCTTCAGAACACTAGCTAAAGCAATGGAGGCATTCAGGTTAGCCTCAGAAATGAAGATCAATTGGGGGAAAACAATTGGCTGGTGGCTCTCCGATGACGAACCCCTTTCTCTTCAAGGAGATGAGGCCGCTATGACATGGCAAACACCGGACACACCCACACACTACCTAGGTATCCTAATGACGAAAGGACTGGCGCCCCAAATGGGGCCGGCTATGCTGGCCAAACAGATTAACAAAATCAGAAGATGGGGCAATGCCTTTACTTCCCTCATAGGTCGAGCACTGGTTCTCAATACGTCGGTCTTCTCAATGATGTGGTATATTGCCTCTATCTGGACAATTCCTGAAAGCTCGATTAAGGAGCTGAACAGACGGGCCAGGATTTACCTTTGGACAGGAGACCCCAACAAAGACAAGTGCATATCTAAGATAGCCTGGCAATACATCACAAGAAGACCACGCGATGGGGGCCTAGGAATCATTGACCCCGGAACAGAAACGAAAGCTCTGCAAATTAAATGGAGAAACAAACTGCGGATGAATCCGGACAGCGCCTGGAATAACTTGGCACTGGACAGTATCAGATCGGTAGCTCCTGTTCCCTCCCCGAACGACATGTCAGGCCTATTTTGGGTAATGAACAAAGAATGGGTGATTTCCACAGGACGGAGGAATCGGACGAGGAACAACAGACCCGAAGACCAGCGGCCGCCCACCCCCTACTGGCCGGCATTGCTTCGATCATGGAGGAAAATAATCCCTAACAAGATAAACAAACCTAAATCTAAAGACAAAGTACTGAGACAACCGCTCTTCGGAAATGATTGGCTGACAAACAAAGCCAACAACCCTCTTTTCCTAGAACAGAAATGGCTATCGTGGATCAAGAATGGTATCTGGAAAGTAGACCACTTGTGGATGGAGGACAGAAAAGACTGGATAACAGAACAAGAAGTTAGTGCCCAACTGAAAGGATGCCATAAACGAGAGATCAATCTCCAATACATACTCAATTGTATTCCTCAAGAATGGAAAGATATCCTGGTAAAGGATGAGTCCTGGAGACCGGGCGATTGGGGTCTTTTGATTCAAGACACATCCCCTACTAGAGCCTATCAATTCTCTCACATGCAGCAAGGCTCACATACCAGAGCCAGTTTTCTCTCCTTCCCGGTCTCCTTCACCAAGATGGACAGGCCAGTTATTTTCAACGACAATGTAGAATCAGCTATATTGGACTATTTCCTCCTAAGAAAAGTAAGTGTCCTAGGCTCATGGCCAAAGGAAATTTTCAGACCAGATACGGCAATCCGATCCCTGGAATTCGACCCAGCGGAGTGGGCCTGGAAGCCAAATGC